CAGATGTATACCATTTTTCTTTTTTTTCTGAAAACAGATGAATGGGCTTTGCGTCCGATGAAAATTAGTAATAAGGGCCTAAGGTCTGAATATTTCTCTCCTCATGCTCCTATTAGTATGCGACGGCCGCGTTGTGGCGTACGTTGCTTGTGGGAGGCCTTGAATGATTTCATCAACCTTAAAAAGAGCAAACAAAACAGCCTGCTACCTAAATAAAAATTGCCAGTTTCATTATTTAGTCAAGAATAATTAGAGCTTTTACTGTTTTTCTTTTTACTTGTTACAAGTACTTTGGAGTTTTATCTTTCTTTTCTTTCTATGTAATTTTTTTTATTGGCAAAACTTTTTGACTAAAACAAGCTTTAAGAGTGTGTTTGGTTTGAGGAGGAGAGAGTGAAGAAATAATTTTTTTGACTAATTAAATTATAACATTGATTAATGTTTTAATTTAATTGGTAAAAAATATTCATATCTTTCCTTTCTTTATTCCCTCAAACTAAACATACTCTAAAAGGGTTTGTGTACTAAAATTTTTTTATCTTATACTTTAAAATAATAAAATTTTAGCCTTTATATATATGATAATGATTCAAATAATAAAATTTTTTACCTTTATATATGGTAAAATTTTAGCTTTGATATATCCATTTCGACCATTTGGTGTTATAGGAGTGGCATCGTGTTCAATAAATTGTCATGGGATGAAAACAATATAGTTTTGTGCAATCAAATTAAAAACTTATGGTTTTGTTAAAGGGAAATTTTAATTTGCTATGTTTAGCTATGGAGAGTGATGTCAATTCCCAAACCTTGCGCAAATAAAGCTTAACTTCTCAACTGCTCTTGTATCTCGCTACTTATTGTAAGGTTGAGTACCTTTTGTACTTATTATAATAAATTTTTGATTCATGTAAAAAAGAGTAATATCTACCTACACAACTCTTATACATATTAATTAAGTAGGCATGAGACGTATGTTTCCAATCTGATCAGCTTGCTCTACCCCAGCCAAAACGCAAAACTCAACTTGCTCCGCAATATAGAATCAATTGTTGCCGTATTTATTACCATTTATATCAGATCATATATATTTAGTTCGTGTGGGGGCATCAACATGTTCCAACCCTAACTACACGTTGGAATTAAACACCCCCGCACTAGACGTTGTTGGAATTGAACGTCCAATTTGGTGAGTGATAACAATATAACACTATAAATTAAGAGCTAGCTAGCTCAACAATGGACACCATAACCGACAGTACTGAAGCAAAAAAAATTAAACTTCCATATACAGGTACAGCATTCTTACGTGCCAAAAATGCACCAAATTTCTCTTATTATTTGCTGCTTTCTTATGGCAATGGCATCAATCCCCTTCACCTCACATGGTGTTAGATGTAAGTTGTCTCTTCTTCATTTATGGATTATATTACAATTTTATCCATCACCTATACCCATCTTTTAATTTACTGAATAGTTTCGTGCGGTTTTATGTATTTGGAGTCTAAGGCTCCTCTCCTATTTATTCATCTTGAGAAAATTATATTTAATTTAAAATTAATTGACAATAAATAGAATATAATTCCTTGTATTTAACCAACACCATTTTTTTGTTATTTTATCAATATGAGATTTTCTTATTTAGCACGTTCTCCTGATCATGTGCATACTCAATATTAATTTCGAATCTTGTCATGTGAATCTCTTAAGTTCGTAATCTAAGATTTTTGTGACAAATGAAACTTTCATGTGAGGAGGGCTTCTTAAGTTTGTAACTTGATTCACATGACATGACTCAAAATTAATACTGAGGTTGCATGTGAGGAGAATGTGTTTAGTGAAAAGTTTTTACATTAGAAATATAACATATAAGCATGTAAGGAAGGCTACTCTACCTTTGACCAATTAATTTTAACTTGAAGGCAAGTTTACAAAACTTACATGCTCAAATTTTACATATCTATCTATTGAGTGAGAGAATCTTATAACGAATATATATATAATAAAGAAACACATGACTTAAATATGAGAGTTACTTCAACTATTGTTAATTGATTTTAAACTAAATACAAACTTTGTATTGAAACCCACAATTAAAATTTTTACTCTATATATATATATATCAACATAGATATAGTTTATCTACCTATATATCAACATATATAGTTTATTTATTTATATACATGGGACTTAATTACATACAAAGTGGTTGCACTTTCCTTTATATGATACCATAATTTTTTCCCTGTAAACAGATGGAATGGATTCGCATCCACCACTTGAATCTCCTATGCCTAGCCGACGACATGAATCTCCTCCGCCTGGCATAGCATATGTATCTCCCTCTCCAAATGCCCCACGGGGAGTAGGGAGATATATTCAGCCGCGACCATAAATTCGAAGAATAATCCTAGGAAGTTCTCTGCTCGGGATTGTGGTGTTAATGATACGGCTTGTGGGAGTCCTTGAATGATTTCATCAACCTTACAAATAACACAACACAGCCTGCAGCTACCTAAATAAAAACCGCAGCATTATTTTGTCAGACTAATCTTGCTATATAATTTTTTTTTATGGGAAAATTTTTTTGTTTTGATGGGAGGGAAAAGAAAAATGACTTTTTTGATCAATAAAATTATAATATTAACTAATAGTATAATTGATTAATAAAAAAAATCCTTCTTTCTCCTCCTTTTGTTAGATTTAAGTTGTCTCTTCTTCATTTGTGGATTAAATTTAAAAATTTATCTATAACCTAATTTTGGTTCCTCAACTTTCAGTTTAAATCAAGTTTGCCCATAAACTTTAAAAATTGCCAAATTCATCCTTAAACTTTATTTTTCCCTTACCCTCTTAGTCCTTCCGTCGATGGAGTGCTTGAGTGGCTTGTTAACTCGTCACTAAATATTACATGGAAATTTAAACTAATCACATGTCAATTTTTTTTGCTAATACATGGCATATGCATATAGGCAAATTTTAATATATCAATTAATAAATTAAATTAAATACAGTGACACGCATTGTTGTCAAAATCTAGATTTAAATCTTAAAATCTTACGATTTTACGATTTCAGCAAGACATTTCGTGTAAAATCTATACTAAAATTTGAAATTTATAAAATCTCGATTTTACCGTGAAATCAGGTAAAATCTCGATTTTACCTTCTGTTTGGCAGTTGGACTTTTTGCCTATTTTCTTTTGGACTTCTCATCTTGGGTTAGTGAGTTTTGACTAGATAACCCATAAATTAAGCTTATTTTTCATTTTAAAAGCCTACAACCCACACAACCCAACCACAAATCAACATTTTAATAGGGAATTCGAGACAAATTTGATTTAACCATCTAAAATTCTAAATTTAAGTCATCTTTTTCTTTTAATTTATTTGTGTTGTTGGATATTTAGATTTTAATTAGTTAATTTCAAGTTTTTAATTCTAAATTTGATTTATTGTTGTTTAATTTTGATTTTATATAATTTATTATATATTATATATTAAATTTTGTAAAATCTCGATTTTACCGATTCGATTTTACGATTCCGATTTCACCTAGGCAGAACGATTTTAGGTAAAATCTCGATTTTGACAACCTTGGTGACGCGGCTCAATCTTAATTATTTTAACTTAATCACATGTGCCATGCTTTTAATCTCTATCTTTATCAAAATTAATTAAGAGATTACCATTAAAACAACAAAAAAATTGTATTATAATTTAAATTGAAAAATATTAATCCTTAAATAAGAGATTATCTTTGAAATTAGAAGCCCTCCTATTTAAATGTTCTTATTTTACCATTGGGAACAGCAGACTCTTAAAACAAATCAAGATCTTATAAAAACAAAAAACAAGATAGTATGTTAATTTTACATTTAGAAAATGAAGATGCAAAGAGACTTTTAAAATAATGAAGTGATTCAATAGTTAAAAATCCAAAATTTTAAGTTGGAGATTTTATATTTGAGTATTGAGTAAGATAAAGAGGAATTTAAAAATAAAAAAGAAATTTATCTTTTCTTATATAATTTATAACCAAATGCATGAAATAAAAAGACTCTTCAAGATCCAATAGAACCAAAATCAAGATTATATGTTAATTTTATATTTAAAATATGTTTAGATGGAAGAAAACAAAGAAAAAGAGAAGAAAAATATTATTTATTTAATTATTAAAAAAATTAAAGACAAGAAAAGGAAAAAAATAATTTTTTGTATTTTTTTAATTTAAATATCTATCCAAATAATTAAAGATATGAGCGGAAAATTATGGGAAATAAAAAAAAATAATTTCCTTCCCTCAATCTAGATATAGGATAGGGCTAGAAAACAAAGATACAAAAAGAAGAAAGAATCCGTCTCTCCGATGAAGATTAGCATGTTTGGCAAGTTTAAACCCAATTTCGATGACGATGAGCATGCCTGGCAAGTTTAAACTCAGTTTCCTTTTTTGTCAGAAGGAACATCGTCTTCTTTGGCATCTCAAACCCATCTGGAAATGAGAATTGTGAATCTAGCTGCTCGGTCTCGAACCAAACAAAAGCAACGAGTCTAGATCTATAAACATACCCTGATCCTCAACTTTTGCTTCATCTCTAACCACGCAACTAGATCTGGATCCATACCCATACCATCAAGGAAGGAAAGCAAGACCCACTAAAACCCACCTTTGATTTCAAATCTATATGGCCCAAGAGGTGAATTCCGTTAATCAAGCCCTGGATGATGCGGTTGGAGATCCATGAAGCAATGCGCTACTCGCCCTTAATAGGGGTAAGCCACATGTGGGCTCCTCGACGGCCACGAATCAATGAAAATTCAGAACAGGAGATGATGTACTTGAAAGGGCAAGGGAATTGAGTGATCAATTTCATAATAGGAGCCCACTTTGCAGCATCTGTTTCCATAAACGAAAACTTCAGAAACATTGGAATGGAAAATACAAGAGTCGAAGTGGTAGGAAACGAGGGCATAAAATTAAAGGTATAAATAAAGAGGGCGAGAAGCTTTCGTTACCATGGGTACTGAGGGTATTAGGAGATGGTGGCAGTCCTTGTTTGGGCAATCCATGATGACCTCCCTCGTATGGATAGCAATGATCTTCGCTGAGAAAAACGCATAAACTACAAAGTCCTTTTGCAGGGATATGTTGTCTTGGGCAAAGAGGAATGAAGAAAGAGAGGGAGAGGGATGAAGAGAGCACCGGGAAAAGGATTAGAGAAGGGAAGGTGGAGGGGGAATCGGGGGAGATGAAGAATGAGGGGAAGGGTAATTGTGTAATTTAATGAATTTAATTTATAAAACATGAAAACTCACACATGGTTGCAAAGAAAAAAAAAAAAAGCCCACACTGGCTCATCAATTTCTTTTTCCTAGTAATTTTTTTAACTTCAAAATTGTAAATTCGTGGCAAGTTAACATGCCACCTAGACAGTCCGTCGACAGAAGGACCAAGTTGGGAAAGGAAATTAAAAGTTTAAGAATGAATTTGCTAATTTTTAAAGTTTAGGGACAAACTTGGTCCAAAATTGAAAGCAGAAGGACAAAAATGAACATTTGACCTTTTTAAAATTAAATTTGATATTTCAAAAACTCCGTTTTTAATATTTATAAATAGAGATTTGGCGAATCATGCAGAAAACCTCCTTGAGCTTGACTATCAGTGGCAGATTAACCTCTAAACCAAACTCAGAAGCATACCACCCCTTATACTCTTTCACGGTGGCAAATAAGCCCTTGCTTGAAGGTTGATATCATCGTTCCGTCAAATAACTAACGGTGTTCTTATTTCCCTCTACTGGCTGCTGAATTAGAAACAACGTGGGTCGTATGTCGTCAAACCTATTAATATTAAAACATTTTATGAAACAACAATTTAAAAGTAAGAATTTTAGGTGCTTCTATTCATATAGAGCCAAAACTTTTTTCTTTTTCTTTTTCTTTTTTTTTATCTGTCGCAAATAATTAAAGTATTTTACAAATTTTCATTAAAAAAATTATAACTTGTTTTTGGTATTTCTCTTTATTTATGTGGATTATGAGGAATAAATTAAATTCAAACTTAATTTCTATCTTTATTCTTCATTTTACGTCCAGAATTGTTCTTTATTTTTTTTTATTATTTGTTTTTTATTATTTGTTATTCATACTTAATTTTCTTATTTGTCTAAATATAGAGTTATAGAGGAGAGGTGAATTTTATGTTGTATATGGAATTTGGAGTTTAGCATTGATGATTCACAGTTTATTTTGAATCAAAATTATGTGTTCAATTTTTTTTTCTTTTTATTACTTTAGCTCTAGGATTAGACTAGCTATAAAAGGAGAAATAATATATATTTAAGCTAAATTAAGTTAAAATTTTTTGATGATTCTGTTGTTAATATACTTGAGTCATAAATATATCTATACATTTTTTAATCTAATTTTTTTGATAATTCTACTGTTATATTATTATTATTATTATTATTATTACCACTACCCAATGCCTAGATTAATTATTCATTTTAATATGATTCATTTTAACAAAATTTGTTTTAAATAAATAATATATACTAAAAACTTTAAAAGTTGAATTTATTAGTGAATAAGTGTTTTTTTATAAGCTAAATTTACAATTTAAGTCTTAATACTAACACTTAAAAAA